ATGTCACCTTTCCAACGAGCATAAATCTGAAATTGTTTGATCGATACTTGACGAGATATCGATCACTACAGCCATTTACCGAAAAAATAATAGATTTCTTTCTCCCCAACCTAATATATAGAGTTTGGTTTGAACGCTTTCGAAACGGTGATTTTAATGTGAGAGACAAAGAACGTTCCAGACAGCTGAAAAAATTTGAAGATGTCGACCTGCAAGAATTGCTCATTGAGGATCCAGCTCAAACGTTTTTAGAGTTGTCGGAAGCGTTAAATGTTACTCCAATGGCCGTCTCAAAACGTTTGCATGTCATAGAAAAAATTCATAGGAAGGGATATAACTATCACATGAGTTGTCAGAAAATGCTATTTTGAATTGTTTTTGTATCGCGACTTCTTTGATTGCCAGGCAAAGAAAAAAAGTTTTTTGTGAGTAGCGATGAAAAATGGATTTATTTTGATAATCCCAAGCGGAGGAAATCATGGGTGGACTCCGGCCACTCATTCACTTCAATGCGGAAGAGAATATTCATGGGTATAAGACCTTGTTCTGGTTTTGGTGGGATCAGGACGGTGTGCTATATTACGAGCTCTTGCATCTAAATGAAACCGTTACAGCTAATCGCTACCAACAACAATTATGCCGATTGAATGACGAATTGATGCAAAAAAGACCATCTGTAACCAACAATATCATTCTTTTGCATGATAAAGCTCGACCATGTTGCGGAAAGCTGTAGAAGTAGACACTTCTACAGCTTGAATGAGAAGTCCTCCAGCATCCAGTGTACTCTCCAGATATGGCACCGTCAGATTACCATCTTTTCCAGTCGATGCAACGCGCACTTACGGACACATACTTCTCCAGTTATGAAGAAGTTCAAAAATAGATGGGTGAATGGGTCGCCTCGAAGTACATCGTGTTCTACCGTGGGATTGCTCTGTTGCCGGAGAGATGGGAAAAAATAGTCGAATTTGGAGGAAATTACTTTGATTAAGATATTCATTTATCTTCCTTTCGTAACAAATCAAGTTTGGAGATGAAAAACGGTGGGAATTAAGTTTATACCTAATACGTATGTTCTTCCATGTTATATAATATATTGAACTATCTAATCCAATTAATAAATTACGATTCGATATCTATATAAATCTATTTTAATTTTATGGAAAATTTTAATATTTTACTATATTTTCTATAAATAATATGTTATAGAAATTCAATCGTATCTTATTATTTAAATTTAAAATATGAAATTTAAACTAAAACATATGTTTTTTATTAATAAACAAATTACTTGAACGGTAGATTATATGTTAAATAATATAAAAAGAGAAAAAGAATTTTTCAAATATATCAGATAAGTCTGAAATTTAAGAACTAAAGACACAATTCGAATATACATTTTACTTATATAATTTCTAGATAACTAAATAATGTCGGAGTACAATATATTAACGTTATTATGATGCCTACGCTGTCAATATGCTGCTTTTCAACGTCAGTAAGCTATTTATATTCTTTTGGACGTTTTAAGTAGGATTAAGGCTTAGGTTTTTCAGGTAAATATTAGGTGCTTGAATTAATTCTCGCTGTTTTTTGTTACAAAAACTCATGTTTATTTCAAAAGAACAGTATATTATATTTTGTTCAAAGTATTGTTCTTCGGAAACTAGAAACTTTTTCACTTTTCGGGTAACACATGGATTCTGCAGTAAAAAAATTCAGGTTCTTTCGAAGCGATCCAGTCATCGAGCCACTTTTTGATACCTTCGAAAGAACTGAGTGCTCAGATAAATCATGCTGCATCGACCGAAACAAGTGGTAATCTGAAGGAACAACGTTTGGTGAATAGGGCGGATGGGATAAGACATTCAAGTGCCTCCAAGATTTCCTTTACTGATGTTGCAACATGTTTAGCATTGTCATGGAGAAGAATAATTTTGTTATGTCTTTTGGCATATTGCGGGCATTTTTCTTTGAGTGCTCGATTCAAATTTAGTAATTGTCGTCGGTAGCGTTCAGCATTGATGGTTTGTCTTGGTTGCAACGGCTCATAATACTACCCCAACTAGATCCCACTAAATGTACAGCATGATTTTCTTTCCATGAATATCCCGTTTTCCATGAATATTCTGTTTCCATGAATATCCTGTTTTAACGTTGATGTTGATTATTCGCCGGGACACATCCATAATTACTTGCGTTTAGGATTGTTGTAACGAATCCATTTTCATTCCATTTCATCACCAGTCACAATTCAATGCAAAAACGACTTCCGTTTTTGCTTTTGAAGCAGCAATTCACAAATGGTTAAACGTTTCGCAATGTCTCTTTCTCTCAATTCATATGGGACCTAGTTTCCTAGCTTCTGGGTCATTCTCATTGCTTTTAAACGTTTGCTAATGGTTGATTCATCGATATTTAGTGTTTCCGACAACTCTTTGAGCGTCTGACATGATCTCCTTCCAGTAATACCTCCAATTCTCCATCTTCAAACTTTTTCGGTTGACCAAGGCGCTCTTGGTCATTCACGTCAAAATCGTTGTCTTTTAATCGTCTAAACCAATCTCTGCAAGTTGTTTCAGATAGAGCATGCTCCCTATAAGCCTCCACTAGCAAACGATGACTTTCAGCAGCAGATTTCTTGAGATGAAAGTAGAAAAGTAATGCTTCCCGCAAATGCTCTTTTTTTGGTACGAAACCTGATATCTTCAATGCAATAAAAAATTATGTTCTTCGCATTACTAATCTTTGCACTACTGATCTCATGTCACACACTGATTATTAAAGCCTATTGACAGTACTTTCATATACATCAACAGTCACTTTCGGCCATGCTGAAATAACACAAGTACTGATCTCTATTAGTCAACAGCGAGAATTCATTCAAACACCTAATATATATATTTATATTTACTTATTTATTTATTTATTTATTTCTCGGCACAGCAAAACTATTAGCTGTGATATCTAAATTTATATAATATGACTAAAATTTAGTTATCAGATTTAATTTTTAGCTGTAGGAGTTAATTCTTTTTTCTGTGCAAATACAGTCAGGAACAATTCATACGAACAGATAAGGTAAGTAAAATCCAATTTTTTATATCAAAATATTACTAAATATACTTAATGCACTTACATAATAATATATTAATACTCTTATTAATTCATAATTTTACAATTTCCCAAATTTTACCTAATTTTTATTCCTGCCAAGGTCTTATGACTTCTTAAGATGAAAATATAATTTTTAAACTTACAAATAAAAATTCAAATTTAAATTAAGTTTTGGTATATAAGGTATATGATATATATGTCGTCATATAGTATATGTATAGCAAAACTGCTAGTTATAGTATCTAAATCTGTATTTACCTGGGAAAAAAGATCATATATGAAATTTGCCCATATATGATCCAGACAATCATGCATAGGACCTGCCAAAAGTTCCGAAACGTCTAATTATTAAAAAAAAAAAAAATGATTTAAAGAAAAATGTTTGGAACAAAAGTTGTAGGGTTTAAAAAAAACTATCAGACATTGATAGTTGTTTGGCTTTAGAATGACCTTGAAGAACGTTATTAAGATCAACATAAAAATCTTAAATGGAACCCCTTATTTTTCGTTACATATTTTTATACCTTTATTCTTATACCTGACGTTGAGACGTTTCCGAAACATTAGTCACACATCTTTTTCCCATAAGAACTTCTCGAATTATAAGGTTTGAAAGTGGCAATACAGCCGGCATTAGCATTACCCAATGTGTACCGCATGGAGGTGTACGGTTGGATTTACACCTCTTGTGTATGTGTGTGTGTGTGTGTGTGTGTGTGTGTGTGTGTGTGTGTGTGTGTTAGCAGAGATTAGGATCTTATGGTGCGTCACTCTCATAGTATTTAACGACTCCAAACCATCTCTGCTGTGTGTCATGCACCATGGGATCCTAATGCCGGCGGTATTGAAACTTTCAAGCCCCATAATTCGGAAAGTTCTTATTGGAAAAATGTATGTGACCAGTACTACGGAAATGTCTCAACGTCAGGTATAAGAATATGTAACGAAAAATAGAGGGTTACATAAAAATGTTTATATTGACCTTAATAACGCTTTTCAAGGTCATTCTAAGGCCAAACAATTATCAATGTTTGATAGCTTTTTTAAATCCCACAAATATTGTTCGAAACATTTTTTTAAATCATTATTTTTTTCAATAATTAGTCGTTCACGAACTTTTGGCAGACCCTGTATGTCCACAACGAAAAAGTACTATTGTATACAAATTATATATAAATACAGACAAAGTGCTTCTGACTATTTATGCTTCTGACAGCACATGATATCCACATTTTATTAAATGACCTAACATCATTTTTTTATAGACATATATGATTATATATGTGACCACATGTATGGGCAAAATTCACACCTAATTTTATACAATTATATGTAATCATTTTTTCCTGGATACATAATATAGTTAAAATTTAGTTACAGATGTAGTTTTTAACTGTAGGAGCTAATTCTTTTATAAATAGAACTAAAGATAATTTATGCGAACAGATATAATGATTTCAAGATATATCCACTTATATCTGTTTATATGATTAGATAGAGATAAAATTAATTTGATTATGTATGAACCATTGGATATACTCAGATATAATTAAATATATATGTTTTTTCTTAGGTCCTAGGGTAATTTTTTGCTCATTGATTATGATCCATTATAATTTTACTGCTATATTGTATTATATATTATGACAGTATTTTGACAGTACCTTATTTCTCACGACGAATTTATCGAGAATGTAAAGACTATTCTTAGATGATCTCATCAAAAAGGATGAAGGAAGGCCTATCAGCCTGTTTGATAGAATGCCACAATATTCTCTGTTATCAATTTCATTCCATCTCACTTGTGTTACAGGCGATTTGCTATCTTTCCATAAATTCCAGTCTAAAGCATATTTTTCCCATTTGCTATCAATTATCTCTTGCCTCAATTCATGATTGACAGAGATAGATTTTGGTCCGTACAGCTTGGAAGAATGGGTCTTTGTAGGTAGACAAAGTAATCATTTCAAATAAATGAATTAAATTAAGACTTTAGTTAAAAAGAAAGAGAAATACATTTTTAGTTGAAGTAGTCTTACAGAAGAAGTAGTAGATGACGGTAGAAAATTATCCATGGAGGTATCACTATAATTTTTCACACATGACGCACATTTATCTTCTGAAATATATTTTTGTATTATGCTTATTCTTATTTTCACTTATTTCTTACTTTCTGTGTTTTTTTATGAATTATTGTTTCCAGTAGATTATTGAAAGAATTTTTATGTGCATCTGTCAATAATCTATAAAAAAATGAAGTTGATATAGGAATTTTCAATTAAATAACTGAAACTTAAATAACTGAACAACGATCTTGATAATTTAGAATTAATATACATTAGTTGTGTTCAGTAGAAAAATCAGCTGGTAAATGCTTTCCGCTGTACTGCTAACAGCTTTGCAATTGTTATAAGATTTTCTGCTGAATGACACTTAAGCCTGATCTACAATGTGCTCTTTGTTTCTTATTTCTTGCTCTCTATATTTTTTCATAAGTAGAAGTTCTTACGGAAGAAAGACAGAGATCAAGAAACAAGACGCAAGGAACACATTGCAGATCAAGCTTTAGAAATAATTCACATCCGGACAGAAAAGCGAAGAGCAGAAAAGAGCAGCCAGACAGAACTCGTGTTAGTAGTAAACTAAATAAAGTTGCATTCGGGGAGATACTACTAGCATTATGAATGTAAACACTATTAATGCTGTTCGTGGGGCCAATAGCACAAAAGCAATAGTAAGTTCTATAAATGGTATTAGCGTAGCATTAGCATTTGACCTGTTCTTTTTAACTGCATTGCTGAACTGGTGCAATAAGTTAAAATGAGACAAGCATATTTTGCCTCACTCTAACTTATTACATCAGTTCAGCAGTGCCGCTAAAAAGAACAAACCAATTACTGCGTTGTATTACATCTTTTTCTGTCGTTTTACATCTTTTTCTATTTTTCTTCGGGTTAAATTTTGTTTTCAGATTAGATCAAATATCGCAGTTCAAACTCATCTTCAGTTTCAACATACCGAACCTTTATTTCCACGTAACTGTCCATTACGTACAGGAATAATAGTAAAATAATGAATATGATGTACTCGTATTGTATTCATGTGCAGGAGCTATGACATACACGTTGTGCAGTTCTAGATGTTCACGAAGTTTGCAAACGCTAACGCTACTATTACCATAGGTCAAAAGAGAGATGGATGCCGAGTGTCCTATCTGTCTCTTTCTAGTCGAGCGCTGTGATTGGTTGTTACAATGAGCCGCCAAGACGACCACGCGACGTCAGGAGGGGAGAAAGCAGACTAAACTTTCGTTTTGTAAATTTGCGTGCACATGTGTGTAGAATTAAAATTCGTTAAATATTCGAACGTTAACAAAATAATAATTGGACGCGATTTGTTTAAAAATGAGGCATTGTTTGAAATGCAAGGCGGAGTTTTATCCTGGATGTAACTGCAGTTTTCACTCGTAAGAAAGTACAAATACGTAACCTCAAATAATTATATGTTATTTTTTCCTACATTTAAAAAAATATGTAAATGTTGTAGGCTACCGAAGGATGTAGATATAAGGCGTAAATGGTTGAATATACTTCAACTACCTTTGTATTTTGAAGTGAAAACAGCATATATTTGTAGTGATCATTTTAGCAATGACAGTTTTTTTTAATTGGATGGAGAAAAATGTATAGCTATATCTTCGTTAGCGCGGCAGCCAATCCCAGCGCGTGACTAGAAAGAGACAGATAGGACACTCGGCATCCATCTCTCTCTTTGCCTCTATGACTTCCACTTACAGGCTTGTTCCCTCTATTCTTATATCTCTATGACTATTACACTACCTCGGAAGGAATAACGTTTATAGTGCGCAGTTATGACGTGCACACTACCACTAGTGACGTCATGATTACGTTTGTTATCACTATCCTTTAGCTCTGCGAACAACTTTTAGTGTTAAATAGCACTAATAGCGTTTCCCCGACATACAAAAAAATAGTAAATTAAAGCCAGCTGCACACGATGCTTGTTTTCGTGCTGAATTGCTTACTGGATGGAAATATTACGTTTCGATTGGTGTCATCCATTTTTAGAAATACACCAATCAGAACGCAGTATTTCTATCTAGTAAGCAATCCAGCACGAAAACAAACATCGTGTGCCGCTGTCTTAAACAGAAACTGTTGACTATCAGTTTAAGTTCTGATTGGATATCGCTATTCTGCTTTCTACTTTCCTGTCAAAGTATAAATTCTTCCTTAAGTCTAATTTACAATGTGCTCTTTGCATCTTGTTCTTGCTTTTTACTTCTTGTTTCTTTGCTTCTTGACGTGCTGTTTTATTGACAGTTGTGTATTTTGTGGCTTGTCGCTTACCTTTATTGTTTTATATGAGTGCGTTAACTTTTATCTCGGGCAAGAAACACAAGAGGCACAAGAGTTTATATTGGGCGCGTTCGAAGAGACACTATTTAGCGTTTCCATGTCATTCTACCTTTATTACTCTTTACATATACAATAAGGATAGAATGACGCGGTAGCGCTAAATAGCGTCTCCTTGAACGCACCCTTTGTGACAGCAATAAGGGTAGGATTACAGCTTTTATAAACATATCAGACGAGGATTTTTTGGACGAGCAGATCACTTTGAGATAATGAACATATTACCTTAAAAAATGTCATGATTTAGTCATTTTGTAAAAACAGAACTGTCTTATTCTGTGATTGGTCTATGCAAAGTAATAGAAGAAACAAATTGTACACGACGACGTTTCTTGACAAGAAGACAAGAAACGAGAAACAAAAGACAGAAGTAAGGAAACAAGATGCAAAGCGCACCTTGTAGATCAAGCTTGAGGGAAAATTTATACTTTAATAGAAAAACAGGAAGCAGAAAAGTAGCAACCAATCAGAACTTACTCTGGTAGTCGACTGTTTCTGCTTTATCTATTGTTTACTACCAGCATGAGTTTTGATTAGCTTTTGCTTTACTGCTTTCTACTTTTCTATTAAAGTATGAATTCGCCCTAAGGATGGGCAATATTATTGATGTTTGAAAAAAACATCGATGTTTGTTCATTGAGGATGATATTACTTGTAGAGAAAATGTTAGGGACTCTGGAAATTCTCTATCTAATAGCTAATCGGCACATCCGACAAACTCGTATGACATATTTTCAATAAGCGAACATAGACGTTTTTTAAACATCGATAATTTTGTCCATGCTTAATTTTCCCTTATGGCTTTCGATTTGTTGACTTGATCCTACTCGGGCAGCATTTTGGTATTTGCTGCAATATTGCAAACTATAACATACGTAATATGAATTACTCGTATATTAGGTGAACAAAAAAAGTTCTAAACTCTTTTAGCAAAATTCAATCTTTATTCAAAAACAAACAAAAAAAAATTAGTCAGCGAAATATTTTCCTTTGTATCAATGATCTTTTGCTATCTATTGGGTAGCTTGCTTTGAAGCGATAGTCATCAATGCATTTTCGTATCTCTTCAAATCTCACGAAATATGTATTATCCAAGTGAATAGGTAATAGGTAATAATCGGAAGGCGCCATGTTTGGGTATGCCGCGTGCGGGAGAAGTTCCCAGCCTAATGCAAAGATATGGTCCTGAGTTGCTTTCGCAACATGTGGTCGGGCATTGTCATGAAACAGAATCATTTTACAATTTCTTTGACCAATAAATGGCCTCTTTTCTTCTACCGCATAGCTCAAATTGGTCAATTGTTGTTGGTAGCGGTCTACTATAATTGTTTCACCCGGTTGTAACAACTCGTAATACAACACAACTTTCCAATCCCACCGGATGCAGAGCAAAACCTTTTTGGCGTGGATATTGGGCTTTGGCATCGATGTCGAAGGTTGACCAGGGTTAACTCATGATTTTCTACGCTTAGAGTTGTCATAAAGAATCCACTTTTCATTGCCTGTAATGATTTTCTGCAGAAAATCTTTTTTTCGGAACTTTGAAAGCAAAGTGAAGGCAGTGTCACGCCGTCGATTTTTGTTGTTTTCGAATAGTTTATGCGAAACCCATCTGCCTTCCTTTGGAAACTTTCTCATTGTACGTAAACGTACGGAAATGGCTTGCCGCGTATCGCCAAGCTGTTCTGCAAGTTATTTCTCAGTTTGCGCAGAGTTTATACCCAATATAAAACATTACGTAGTAAAAAGTAACATCTTGTGTAAGATAATAACTTCTTACCAATTCATTTGTTATTTTCACGACGTTTCTCCATAAAATGTAGTCCAGCTTAATTTATAATACCACATATCACAATATTTTCATCGTTACAAATTTGTTGAACATGTCTGAAAGAAAGATTATATTTCTTCCAAGTGTGTTTCCAACTTATTTTCTTTTGGACAATTTTTTCTTTCAGGAGACAAAGTAAATTATTGAACAGTGTACAGTGTGTGCATTTTACTTGTAAGAATCATTGGAAATATGAAAAGAGTAATGTTAAATGAGAATCACCATTAGTGAGTAATGTTAAATGAGAATCGCCTTTAGTGAGATAAGGGTATGTAGTAAATATTCACCAAAAATATTCACCTCTCTTTATATGAATTATATACCATTTGTATAATTTCAGCCAAACTGCAAATGAACTGTCGTTACTTGAATATAATTAAATTAATGAATATAATTAAAGCAAACAATACATTAGGTAGTAAAAAATCACAATTAGTTTAAAGATATTAATTTCTTACCACCAAATTTTTTTATCAACGTTCCTCCATAAAATATAATTCAGCGCAATTTGTAATACCACATATCATATTATTTTCATTGCCAGTAATAAGTTGAATATGTTATAAACAAATATATTTCTTCCAAATATGCTTCCAACTTATTTATTCTCGATGTTTTCTCTTTCAAAACACATGTGTCGCACAACAGCCTTCTGAAGCACTGTCATGCAGTAGAACCTGCGATGAAAGAAAAATTATATTATTAGGACGACTGATAAATTCAAATAGATCAACATACAGTTGATAAGTTATTATCAGTATCTCAAACATTAGCACTACTGCAAGTTTTTACGATTCTCCACGATTTAAAAATAAAGTTAGAGCTTGTCCTTGTGCAATTGCAATCTGTGATCAAAGTCCTTTTATCCTAACACCTGAGGATAATTCAAAGAGAGGTGGATCACTTTCAATATCATTATCTATTGCTACCTTAATCAATCGTATCAAATCTTGATGACAATGTTATTAGTTTCAGACATTGATCAAGACACAATTCTTCTGTAGTATCTGTAGTATCTCTTATTGCACCTTTTAGTTCTAAGTTTTGCGCAATGTTCATATTATATGGTTCACGATGCTTATTTAATGACCTCTGTTTCCCAGGTAAAATATTTTAGGTATTTTAATAAAGTCGTTCACTGTCTTTTAATATGTTATCGTTTGTTAATTAACTAATGTATTACACGTGTCCTGTTTGTAGACAGTTTTATATTTTTTCACGATTTTCGCGTAGCAGTTACAATCTTAGACAGAGTGTGGAGATTGGAAGGGATAGCCCGGGAAGAATCTAGGCATGCGCCCACTGAGTACGCGGCACAAAGTATAAGAAAGACTCTTTTATTACATAGAGAGACACTAGAACGATGCAGCTCTAACGGCGGGCTAGTCTCCACTCTTTTACTGCCGTATAGCGACAAAAGACTAGCCGTGCAGTGACAAAAGACTAGCTCGCCGGCGTGTGGTGGGGGGCGAGCTCGCATGCAAGCGAGATAGAGCATAGCCGCGACATACACTCCACTACCAGTGTCAAAAAATTATCTTTTGTTAATTTTTAACACGAAAAAAAGATACGCAAAGATACAGAAGAAATTGTCTTACACTAAGAAAGGTAACTTATAGCTGATAATTCGGTACAAAGCACCTGAGATTATTCTTATTTCGACTAGAAATCATACCGGAAGTGAAGACTATCGCCGTTAAATCAACGCGAAACTTTGCGAAAGAGCCGCTTGTTTGATTAGGATTACCCCGATAAATATTTACAAAATAATGTATTAGTGACGGAGTAGAAGAAAATAAATAATTATGCTCGAGTTCGAAAAAGGAAGACGCGTCACGATCACAGAAGTCTTCTCTTAAGATTGAAGCGAACATGTTTGATCGGACCTTGCACCGCACTGACATTTGTGCTGGTTTTTTTCTTGAAAATAGACGGTACAAACTTAGTTTTTCTATCTGCCGGAGGAGCAACTGAGGTAGTGTGCTGCTGCTGCTGCTGGGTTGCCGGAGAGACCGCGTTGTGATGAGAGAGTAGGGTCTGCTGCCGTGTAGGAGAAGGCTGCGGCGCCGCAGGTGTGAGTAGGTCACTCTGCCTCAGTGGTGGAAGCAGAGCCTTGTTGCGAAGGACGCTGCGAAGGAGCTTGCAGTGTCACCGGAGAGGAAGAGCCACCGGAGTCGAGCGTAGAGGCTGGAGGCGTCGCCGAGAACTCCTCGCGAAGCAAGAAAGCTGGTTTTAGATTCTCCACGCTGACGTTGGCTGAACGACCGTTTACGTCAATTTGAAAAGCTCTGTTGTCGATCCTCTGGATAACCTTGTGAGGGCCAGAGTATGCCTGATTGAGAGTGTGCTTCTTTGCATGGTTTCTCAAATAGACATGCGACAAGGTGTAGAGGGACTTGTAGACAAAAGTGTTCTGTTTGCAATGGTGGGAAGCCGGCACAGGTCTGAGTTGCTGCATGTGAGTTTTGAATGGAGCTAAGAAGAAGGCGTGGTCCTCCGGATGCTGCTCATCGATGAAGAACTCTTCTGGTAAACGAAGAGTGGAGCCGTAGAGGTATTCCGCAGGGGAAGCTTTGAGATCTTCTTTGTAGACTGAGCGCAGACCCAAAAGTACCGTCGGAAACTTCTCAAGCCAGTCTAGAGAGTCGTGACAGCGCAGAGCTGTTTTCAGGACACGATGCCAGCGCTCAAGGATACCGTTTGGAGCAGGGTGGTAGGGCGTCGTCCTGATTCGCTTACCTCCTAGCAGTTGAGTGAGAGCGTTGAAGAGAGCAGACTCAAATTGCGAGCCTCTGTCTGTTGTGATGAACTTTGGGCAGCCAAACCGTGCGATCCAGCTGAAGTAGAAGTGCGTGGCCACGTTCGAGGCCGTGATGTTTTTGAGAGTAATGGCCTCCGGCTAGCGAGTGAAGCGATCCACCAATGTCAGTAGGTAGGTGTAGCCCTGGCAAGGTGGCAGCGGGCCCACCAAATCTATATGGACATGATCGAAGCGCTGATCCGGATTCAGAAACGACTTAGGCTGCAGATGCACGTGCCGACCAATCTTAGAGCGTTGACAATGCTCGCAGGCGCTGGCCTATCTGGTTATGTCTTTTGACATAGAAGGCCACACGTAGCGTTGCGAGATGATTTTGGTGGTGGCGCGACCTGAAGGATGAGAAAGAGAATGAGTGAGGTCGAAAATTTGCCTCCGGAATGCTTCCGGCACGAAAGGCCTGATGTCGTTTTGCGAGACATCGCAGTAGATCTCTAAGTTCTCCGGTCCCAGCGTGAGCTTGCGGAGTTTCAGAGAAGTGGTAGCGCTTGTAAGAACGTGCTGCAGCTCCTGATCTCCAGCTTGTGCTTGCGAGAGTTCAGCAAAATTGAGCATTGTAGAAAGTCGAAGGGCGTGGACTTGAGGAGGAGAGCCATTCTGTAACGAAGCAGACGCGTGTGCAGAACCGCTGGAGTTTGGATTAACAGCGTCGGAGTTCGGCGCAGGCTCGTCGATCCGTGAGAGAGAGTCCACCACGACGTTGGATGCACCGGCAATGTGCTCAATGTCTGTAGAAAATTGCGCGATGAAGTTGAGTTGGCGAAGCTGCCGTGGTGAGGCGTTGTCCATTTTCTGCTTAAAAGCAGAGAGGAGAGGTTTCTGATCGGTGCGCAGAGTGAGCGGGTAGCCCTCGATCATGCCTCTGAAATGTTTGATGGAGAGAAATAGAGCGGTCAATTCTCGATCATAGGCCGAGTAACCTTGCTGCGTGGGCGAGAAGGATTTCGAGAAGAATCCAAGAGGCTGCCACTGTTCCTGAACCAGCTGCTCGAGAACCGCTCCAGCCCTAGTGTTGGAGGCATCGGAGGAGATTCTGAGCTGTGCGCCAGAGCAAGGATAAGCCAAGAGAGCCGCATTAGCAAGAGCCTCTTTGCATTGATGAAAGGCCGACAGTGCTGCATCGCTCCAAAAAACAGGACGCATGTCTTTTTTCTTGGCGCTCAGAAGCAGATGATGCAGTGGAGCTAGAAGCATGGCGGCGTCCTTGATGCAACGACGGTAGGCACTGACCATGCCAATGAAGCGTCGCAAGCTGAAGAGAGACTGGGGCTGCTCGTAGTCGAATACAGCCTGTACTCTATCTTGAAGAGGTCGGGAGCCCTGCGCCGAGATCTCGTAGCCCAGGAAGGTTATGGAGCTGACCGCAAAGATGCACTTCTCCATGTTGATGAGGAGACCATTGTCCTTAAGACGCTGAAAAACCAGCTGCAGATCCTGGAGGTGTTGAGAAATGCTGTCCGANCAGTGCTGCATCGCTCCAAAAAACAGGACGCATGTCTTTTTTCTTGGCGCTCAGAAGCAGATGATGCAGTGGAGCTAGAAGCATGGCGGCGTCCTTGATGCAACGACGGTAGGCACTGACCATGCCAATGAAGCGTCGCAAGCTGAAGAGAGACTGGGGCTGCTCGTAGTCGAATACAGCCTGTACTCTATCTTGAAGAGGTCGGGAGCCCTGCGCCGAGATCTCGTAGCCCAGGAAGGTTATGGAGCTGACCGCAAAGATGCACTTCTCCATGTTGATGAGGAGACCATTGTCCTTAAGACGCTGAAAAACCAGCTGCAGATCCTGGAGGTGTTGAGAAATGCTGTCCGAGGCTATCAGAATGTCGTCGATGTAAGGAAAGGCGCTGAGACCTTTTAGGACATCGTTTATCTTGCGTTGGAAGTTCTGCGAAGCATTCTTAAGACCAAACATGGTTACCGTGAACTCAAACAGACCAAAAGGAGTGATGATGGCCGTTTTCGGAATGTCCTCCTCAGCNTACACGCCTTGAGCGATGAGGTCGTCGAAGAGGCGCCAAGCCTCCTTGAGACGATCCGGGGCAAGGCGTCTGGCAGGCTTCGAAACAGGATGGCCGGTAGTGATAATGCGATACACTGTCCGGTTGCCAGAGAATGGTTCCGCGGGAGCCTTTCCAGTTATTTGTGGAAACTCGTCCAGCAGCTTGGTAACATTGCTAGAAGCTGAAAGGCAGAAGACTTGAGCCAGTGAGGAATCAGCAGATATGGTCTGACCTGAAGGTTTGTGCGTGGCTGAGCAGGTCTCCGGATCAATTACGATCTTGTGGTGACCAAGGAAGTCCACTCCAAGAATACCAAATGGCACATCTGCTATGATGAGATTCCATACGAAGGACTTATCAAACCCAAAGTTCAGAGTCATTTTGCTGCTGCCATAGACCGAGATGGAAGTACCATTGACGGCAGACAGCTGAGATAGTGGTGCAGCCGACGAAGAGGTAGGAATGCAGGAGACTTCGGCGCCAGAGTCAAATAGAAACCTGATCCTGCTGTTGGCGTCAGTAAGGAAGCAGCGAGGACGGGGGGCTCTGACTAGACTGTCCCAAACCGCTGCCGTTTGGGACAGGTCTACTAGTTTTTTGCCCACTCGCAAGGGTCTTGGCACCGGCGAGCCTTGGCGCCAAACTTGCGATGGTAAAAGCAGAGCTTGTGATTTTGAGCGAGAGACGCTCCCTCTTGCTTGCTGTTGGCTGTTTCGTTATTGTTTTTGTCTGCGTTCGCATCTGGAATTATAGCGCACTTCCGTGAAGACGAACGAGACCTCTGCTGCTGGAGCTGACTGCGCAGCTGGCTTAGCTGCTGTTTTAATTGCCGCACCTCAAGCGAGAGGTCGGAGATGCAGGTCCTGAGCTCCGCTGTGTCATCGTCTGCAGGCTTGTTGCTTGCAGAAAGAGAGAGAAGCTGCGAGCTGCTGTTGTTGGACTGGAGATGCCAGATTCTGTCCGCCAGCTCAGCAAGGTTGTCAACCGGCAGGTGCTCTGAAAAAGCAAGCGCGACCCTGAGGTCGCGAGGCAGCCTGTCTAGCCATATTTGCCTGACGAAGGACGGACCGACTTCACTGTTGGCGACCCGCTGCATGCGTCGGAGGAGCTGCGAAGGAGGTTCATTATCGAGGTGCAGCTCAGAGATGAGCCTGCGCACCTTCTGTTCGGCCGACTCCGAATGGGACTTGAGGAGCGCCTCCTTGACCTCAGAGTACATGGACTCTGGGCGAGCCGAATTGATGATTTTCTCCATGTCCAAGGTGATAAGGTCCTCTGAGAGATGCATCAGCAGATGATGAAAACGCGATGGCTGATCTAGAATGCCATATCTGACGAATTGCGCCTCCAACATAGCGAGCCATAGCTCAGGTTTTGTTGTCCAGAAGGGTGGCTGTCTAATGTCCACCACGCTGGGTGAGCGCTGCTGTGCAGGTAACGGAGAAGGCGAAGGCGATGTCCGAGTCGGTAAGGAAATGCGGTTGAGCGGCGGGATACGCTTGGCTGTAGAGCTGTGGCGTCGTGTTGGTAAAGGCGAGCTGCGAACGACTAGCGTAGGTCGGTAAGGCAGAGCCCGGCGGTTTGACCGTGTGAGAAACTGTCGGTAAGGCGCACGCGGTTCCGTGACTCGGATCGCCCGGGTTATTGTGCGTGCTGCGTAGGAAAGTTGTGTGATGCTGCGAGAAGGCGGGGTAGGCGTAGCCAGCGACGTACCGTGCTGCGCTGGGATTGGCTACGAGCGGCGTGCACGAGTAAGGCACGTGTGCGCTCGAGGATACCGCGAAACTCGAGCGGTTCTCGGAACTGTTCGCAAACACCTTGTTGCCAAGGTCGAAATGTTGTTGCGAGGCCGAGAAAGAATGCGGCGTTATGATNAGTACCTTGATCGAGCGGGATGCCCTCCGAGGAAGCCGATGCTGCCGCTGGGTCAGAAGGGCCCGTAAGGCCCAGGGACCAGGAGGTTGACCCGGCTCCTTGTTGAGATGATTGCAGGTCCTACTGCTGCTGTTGGCACTGGGGTGGCGAATTGAAGCCGATGAGCTGTTGGTCCTGCGGTTGAGAAGGAGGTGGCGGCGGGTTGCTGCTGCTTTGGATGTCCGGATGGTGTTCGTCGAGAGGCAGGCCTGTGGCCTTATGCTTCATTATCAGCGAGTGATGCACCATGGTTCGGAATACAGCCGAAATGTACAAGAGAATGTACGCACAGCGCGTGAGAGACATGCGAGAGTTCGCGAGCGTTCACGACCGCAGCGAAAAGAACGCTTTTCTATTGTTAGGCACCACCGACGTAAGACGCACAATGCGCACTGAGGTTGCGTGTATCAGCGGAAAAAAGGCTTTTTTCAGCTGAACGAGAGGTCATCTGTGTGGAGGTTTAGAAGGGATAGCCCGGGAAGAATCTAGGCATGTGCCCACTGAGTACTCGGCACAGAGATTAAGAAAGACTCTTTTATTTCGTAGAGAAACACTAGAACGATGCAGCTCTAACGGCGGGCTATTCTCCACTGTTTTACTGCCATACAGCGACAAAAGACTAGCCGTGCAGTAACAAAAGACTAGCTCGCCGGCGTGTGGTGGGGGGCGAGCTCGCATGCAAGCGAGATAGAGCATAGCCGCCACAGTGTACTATTTCTGAGCACTTCTAGGCCGCGGAGAACTGACAAAGCGCATGCGTAAGCCTCCGAAAAGCGATCGGGATTGGCCAAAAACAAGGGGCCAATCAGGGAGCTTCGCGAAAATGAGGTTACGTACGAAATTACAACATGGTTGAAACGCCTTTTTCCTCCGGACCTCCGTCGAGAGAACACGTGGTACAAGCGAAGTATCGAACGAGAATTTATACACGGCAAGTGAGATCCTGCGAACAATGCCGCCCAGGACCATACCGAGGAAGGACGTCCTGGTGCGCAATTTCTGACAGAGGCTCAGGAGACGAACGACCGATTGCTACAGCGATGGTAAGTGGCATCAATATCGTCACTGTTCTTCTCCGCGTACCATTCTGACGTCGTAAATGAGTACTTGAGTGATTTTACTTTAACTTTTCACTGCGCTGTCTTATTCCGTATTGAGAGAATTGTCTGCATGTTCTGCTCACACTGACAGTAGCTTTCACTGTGTCTTTATACAAAATATACTCACTATCTGGTCGTGTCTGATAGTTGCCACAGTTCACACACACGAAATAAATAATATACAACGTTTTCAATGCGTTTCTATAATCATGCAACTTGTTAGTAAATGAACTATATGGCGCTGAGTTTTATTACACATTTGATTATACAGGAATGATCGCTGTTCACTATGTGCACTTTTCACTTCCCACTGTGAGCTTTGCTGGATATCATTTTGCACCTTATTAATTGTTATGAATGTTCACACACACAAAACAAATAATATACAACGTTTTCAACATTGACTACACATTGTATTGTGAGAATTGTCTGCATGCTCTGCTCACACTGACAGCAACTTTCACTGAGTTTTATACAAAATTTACTTGCTATCTGGTCTTGTAATCGTTTGACAAAAGCTATATATGCATATTACAGTGTTTTATAGAAAGATATTTAACTTGTTTAATATTTAACAAGATATTTACAGTGATATTATTACTTATGTTATACTTAAACTGTTAATACTTATGTTATCGCTTATAACGCATATTTGAACATAAATATTCACATTTCAAGGACGTGGGACCAAGAAGAAGAATTTAAGTAAATTTTGCTCATTCGTCACAGACAAGCTAGAAATAGCACAGCTGAGTTGATAGACAGCATCTGCAACATCAAATGCAACATCAAAACATGCAATCAAAGAAAGTGTTTTACAATAAAAATTTGAAAACAGATATTTATATTTGAGAGACGTCCAACAAAGACTTAAAGTATTAAGTAAATATTTGTTTATTCGTCCAATTGAAAGTTACAAAGAATACAACTTATTCCATTAACTGCTTTTCAGCATCGTTAACGTTGCATAAGACATNTTCTAATAATGTTAAAAAAGCAACCCCAACAAAAACAATTAATACTACCAATCTTAATAAATTTAACGTTATATATTTTAAAATTATTATTTTACATTATTTCTAATGTTTGTTTTAAATTCAAAATCAAACGCACAAGTCTGACAAAATAATTTCTGTAAATTATTTCTATATTCCCTCTAATTTTTATAATACTTAATCAAATTGTAAAGTCCTTACGTACAATTTATATTTTATAGATAGAAACCGATCTGGCTTACACTGATCTAAATCATGTAAGATTTTAATGGACGAACAGACGAAAAATTTAAAAATCTTCTTTAAAATTNGAGGTCGTAAGCATTCTTTTTTTTATTTGATCTTTTTAATAATATAACGCTATTATACCTAATTAACTATATCTTAATAATTTATTCTTCATTCTAAGTTTCATTCATTAATTATTGTTTATTACACCTTACTACAATTTATTTAATTTTTAATCTTAAAGAAACATAAATTTTACTAATTATTTCTTTCCAATCCTCAATTGAAGAACAATTGCTACCTTTGCACAGTGAAAGAACTGCGGCTGTTAAAATATTTCAAGCGGAATAAATCTTAAATCATTATCTTAAAAGTATGTCATTGTTAAATAGGTAGATTTAATAAATTTGTGTAATTCTTAAAAATTATACGTTATGAAAAATATTTATATATTAGGTTGGGGAAAAAGAAATCCATTATTTTTACGTAAACTTCAAGACTTTATTTAACATGTTTCGGATTGTCCGATTTGGGTCAAATATGCACCGTTTTATAATTTGTTGCCATTTTAAAGGTAGCTTCATAATGCCTCATAGAAGTTTTGGTCCCTATTGGCGAAAAACTCTAGTAATCGATTTTCACAATCTTCTCTTGATGCCAATTTCTTATCACTAAGGAAGTTTTGCAATGCAAGAAAAACATGGTAATCGCTTGGCGCCGGACTATATGGTGGATGCATCAAAACTTCCCAACCAAGCTCCCGGAGTTTCTGGCGAGCCACTATAAACATGTGTGGCCTAGCGTGATGGAACACAACACCTCTCCTGTTGGCCAATTCTGGCCGTTTTTGGTCAATCGCTAGCTTCAAACGGTCCAGTTGTTGACAGTAGAGATTCGAATTTAGTGTTTGGCCATATGGAAGCAACTCATAATAAATAATTTCTTTCTAGTCCCACCAAATGCACAGCAGAACCTTCCTGGCCGTTAGTCCTGGTTTGGCCACCGTTTGAGCTGCTTCACCGCGTTTTGACCACGATCGTTTTCGCAAATGTTGTCGTATGTGACCCATTTCTCATCCCCAGTTACTATCCGTTTAAGAAATGGGTCGATTTCATTCCGTTTGACCAAGGCTTCGCAGATGGAAATTCGATCCATCATGTTTCTTTGTGTTAATTGGTGTGGCACCCAAACATCGAGCTTCTTTTTGAATCCAGCTTTGTGCAAATGGTTTAAAACTGTTTTATGGTCGATCTTTAGCTCCTGGGCGATGCTACGACTGCTAATATGCCGGTCGATTGTTTCTGTGATTTTATCGACATTTTCGACGACGGGCCTACCTGTGCATCTTTAACATCAAAAATACCTGAACGGAATCGACGAAACCAAAATTGCACGTAATTGGCTTACAGTATCAACACCATTCACAATTACAGCCGCCTGGCTTGCATTTTCGCTTTTATCAAAGAAAAACTGTAAAGTGTACCGAATTTTCTCTTTGTTGACTTCCATTTTTAACATCCTGTAACTCACAACTGAATGGACCGAACAAAAAACAACAAAAGAATTTTGTTAGTGCGAAATGTCACCTTTCCAATGAGCATAAATCTGAAATTGTTTGATCGATACTTGACGAGATATCGATCATTACAGCCATCTACCGAAAAAATAATGGATTTCTTTTTCCCTAACCTAATATATGGAATCACTGCTATTAGGCCTAATGCAATTAATGAAAGCAATTTTAAAACACCTTGTAGTAGCATATCGTGGATTAAGATTGGATCAATTCTTGATTCATATCAGCGAAGTCAGACAGCGCGAGGTTTCACGGTATTTTTGAACACTGCTCCGCAATGTTTAGCGAAACAATATAAAAGAATTGCTGTTTTGACGAACAAGAATGATTAGAGAAAGGGGCTTATAGCCTCATTTCTTTATAATAAACAAAATGACTAACATATATTCACTTCTCTATAAATTCTCATCTCCATTTCCGCGACATTTACCTATAAAGTCTTTTATTTGCATCTAATAGGACAAGTAGAAATTTTCTGTCGTGTACCAAGAGACACGCTGTAGACAAAATTATCTTTGTCAATATTCTTGGTCGTCGTCGA